TTTTAGTAATAATTAGAAATGTAAAAACGTATAATGTAAACGTGCTCTCATGTAAGACTTTTTTTAAAGATATGTTTTATTAGACATCGTCAATCGAGTGTCTTATGCATTGCAATTAAACTCATTTTGAGAGACTGCAAGCAAGAATATATAAAGATATTTAACTATCTTATTGAGCAAACCTCAAATTTTTATTTTGAACTATCGTACGGCACTGAGATTTTAGTAATTTCATATTAGGAAATGATGTTTCAATGCGTAATTTTATAGGTTTTCTCCAATCAAAAGATACCCGAAACTACTATTGCAACAAGAAATATCGGCCCCGTTTTCTCTTTTAATTTTTTGGACAAAGTCTGTGAATTGTAGAAATTACGAGAGAGTTTTAGACCAAGCTAAATTAAATACTCATAGTTTTTATATTAATTTAAATCACGATATAAATCAAGTTGTAAAACAATTAAGAAACCTTCAGAAGTATTATAACTCTATATGAAAGCCTACAAAAAATATAGCACTCAAATACACACTATTATTTTTGATATTTAACATCTGTATCCTTCTTAGGCTCCTAAGTGTAGCAATAAAACAAAGAAGAGATGTCACTCGATATGGAACCTGAGCATAATTAAAATAATTATTCTTATAAATAAAAGATTCTTCAAACTAACCATCAGGTAATGTGTATTCACTTTTTAAAGAGCCTTCGTAATAATACCCGTTCGGATCAAATCCCAAAGGAATTATGGTGAGCTCCAGGTCGTAAGATGTGCAGGCATCCAAGCCAGTGATGTCGTAGTGCGTGGCCAAACTTTCCTTTTCATTTTCAAGTTGATCCACGAAATTCTCTGTCTTTTCAACACCTCCTTCGTACCATAAATCATTGTCTTCCAACCTAGTTTGCAGATTCATCGAGGCGAAGGCTTTATTGTCCAGCGCCCCAGCAAAAACATTATTTCTATCGTGCTTTTCATAATGAACGAGCACCACCTCCTGGGGATTATCGATTATTTTTGAATTGGGTTGCAAACAGTCTCTTGTGTCCAGCGTTGAACCGTGAATTATATCCAATCTGCAAATCTGTATGCTTTCACCTGAACGTACTTCCCACTGGACTTCCAGTGCTGTCTCATAACGTGTCGTTACTGTTAAGTCTGGGGAAAGATAATTATTACAACTCATAATATTTCCTTTCACTAATGTAGGAGCATTAAATTAGGGTGTCATGCTCCAAAGCCATAATTATTAAAGATACGAAAAAGAAGAGAGAAAAAACAGAGAATAGAAAAACTTGAAGTCAAACCTTCAGAGCCTTTAATCACTAAATACATTGGTATTTGATCAGCTCGTAAATGAAAACGTAAGCCTCAAGACTACAATATTTTCTATAGCGTCATATATCATACGGAAAGATTTTTATTATGAACAATTTTATGCCAAATAACATCTTACTTGCATCTTCGGCTGTCGCTTTTGTAGACCCAACGGTTACGTCTGAAGACAGATGAGTTGCATCCTATATACAGGGAAATATGAGTGGGAAGTATGAATAGTACAAATTTTTAGGTCAGAGGCTCCGGAGAATTTTTATGAACTAGCAGATGCTATCTCTTCCGTGCATTATTGTCCTATCATTGTTTTAGGCTAATCATAGAAATTTGAATTAAAATCATACAAAATATTCTGGAATTTTTAATGGTCTAATATTAAAAATTGCGAATAAAATTAAAATTTGTATCTATAATTTTTCAGTAGTGCCTTTTGTTAGCAAAATATCTAATATTCAGACTGCTGGATATATAAGGATTTTGTGAAAAATTCTACAAATAAACCATCATACATGACATAATGAAGGAATATGTCTAAATATACGTCAAATATCCATACATTGTAACTATAGTTAGAGCAAAGTTGAATAAAAATTCTGTGCGATTTAAATTGAAGGCCAATTGGGACAAAAATATTGTTTTGGTGCGACGAAAAGAACTAATATAAAGTTCAGGTCCCTATACCCCTATAATATTGAGAAACGTCGGTAAAAAGACCAGCGACTGTTACTATACGAGAAGCTCCAATAATAAATCAAATTCGGAAAATGACGTCTAAAAAGGCAATTCAGGCGTGAATATAATGCGATGGAAAAAAATTATCGTACAGGCTATCCAGTTTTTTGTTTTGGATGCATTAGTGTCCGACACTGATTAAGCTGCATAATTTATTTCACATATTTTTAAAAAATATTTTATTCGCCAATCATACGCTTCTAAATATGACTGCTTTCCGATTATATAATAGAAATTTAAATATTTACTGCTGTATTTACACATCATTAAAGTGGTGTCTGTTCATTCATTCCCTTTGGATTAGCCATTCAAGAAATCTGCATAGAAACCAAGAAATTTACTATTTTATTTATTAATTTCTTCAAACTTTTATTTACTATCAACTTACCTTGGAAGTTCTGAGAACGCTGCTTCCTTCTACAAGCCATACTAGACAAAGAAATGTCCCGATAATCCCATTCATTTTGACCATCGTCAAGCTGTGAAATTCTTGTATCATATATAGCTTAATACGGTCATGAGTTATCTGTTACTCGGATGAAACTAATAAAATATTCGGACTTTTCCATTCACATTTTTAATCGTTGCCTGGGTCGCTCAATTAAATTTTCGTTCACTCAATTATTTGAACTGTCACAGTGCTCAGCTAGGAATCGTTTAACTGACAAAAAAACGTTTATCTGACCGTAAGCAGGAAAATTAAAAATTTTTTATTTTTTGCACGCAAACGATGAATATAGATTATTCATACTTCACTCTGACAATGGAAATAAATCGATCGTGCTAAACAATAATTATTCGCGATAAGCATCATCCTTTATGTCCGTATGATAATATTAAGATAACAGCATGAGACGAGCAGGAAACATAGGAATAACCAGCATGAAAATTTTCAAGTAAAATTTAATGAATAAAAGTTAATGGCAACTTTATTCGATCTTATTTAATTTTATTCGGAATATTTGGTAAGTGTGATTTTTTTATCGTCGAACACTAAAAATTCAGGTTTTACAATATCACAGAAGAAATCAAATTTAACATGAAAGTTTCCCTCTGCCGTTTTTTATTCAGGCAGAAATCTTGATTAGCATGTCGATACAATGTTCGGAGTAGACGTAGATATTAGATAAAAATATAACTCAGTACTCACTGCAGTGAGTGAAAGAGAACGCGTTTTCTCGTCGACGAAAACTTGAGGTCACGGACGGACGGACGGACAGACGGACAGACAGACAGACGGACATGGCGAGCACAATAGTGCATTTTTTTCATAAATGAGAAAATGCGCTAAACACAGATGCCTAAAATTGTTCATAGTAAAATAAGATACCCGAGTCCAAATAAAAGTTAGCAGCAGGTAAATTCTCTGTTTCTAGGGATTCATAATCATTACTTTTAGAAATATCTATTCCACCGAACAAGCAGAGTCATGACCGGATTAGAATCCTCCGACCAGCATAGTGTCAGAGCAGAGACTTTTTACGCATTTTCTCATATATTGAAAAGAGGCGCTATTGTTTAGACTCTTTCTCAGGTTCATTTTTGAGTCCTGTAAGTATACCAGTAGAGTATCATGGATATCATCATTATCATACATAAGATATTGTTTTAAATCTTGAGCAGATTAGGAAAATAAAAATGAACTGATTATAAAAAAACTGAGATTTGTCACTATTCCGATCAGTTATCTTTGTTGTTTTCGTTACTATTCGAAAACTGGGGTCCTGCGAATTAAAGAAGAATCTCTTATAGCTCTTACTTATAAAGATTCGATTTTAGGCGCTAACTTAAAATTTTTAAAAATTCTCATTTATTTATTAAAAAACAGGCATAGTAGATACACATTAAATTAACTTAATTGTCGTAATTAAACAATCTCCCTAATTATTCGTGATGACTTGAAGTCCACTTCTCGGATACCGGCAGCTATATCAGCTCATCAGGAATAAGATAAAACCGACAATGGTATCAAAGATACCGAGGATGTCGTCTAACACGCCAACAACCGTACTGGCTGACAAGCGC